ACATTCAAACTGCCAATGTTTTGGTTAGCAGCTGAGTACTTGTATATGCAAATATAGAATTGTTTTCTTTAGTTCACGTAAGTGTGATAATAGAGATTGGTAGAACTTATAAATACAATCTTTCACATACACTATTCTGCCAATACCTGGATTTCCATTCTGAAATGTGAATAGGGATTTGATTGTTGTAGTTATCATTTACCATACATTTAGAAGACGTTTCTGGTTTAGAAATAGACTTTGTTCTAAACTGTTTGGAACATTTCTTACAGAAATAATAAAAACATGAGTGACTTACTACCTAGTCCATACAAATCCAATTTAATCTATGTTGTTGTTGTTATATGCCGTCAGGTCGGCCCCGACTCATAGCGACCCCTCCTTGGGTTTCCGAGGCAGTATCACTACGGAAGTAGGATATAATACATTTGAAATCAACAAATTTCAATTCTCTTTTAAACTACAGATTGACCTATTACTGTCAGTACTCCTCCCATTCTTATTTCTCCTTCTCTCCTTTATTTTCCATAAAGTGGTGGGAAAATATACTTTGTAATGTTGGTCAAGGAAAGGGATTGATAGTACCAGGAATTTGCTCATTTTTCTCTCAGTCTCCTACTACTACTACAGAGAATCAGGGAAACATTTCTCATCCCCAGCTGCCGTTCATACTTACAAGATGTTTCTAAAACATGACATCTGTAAGATGTTGTGAGACCATCACTGCCAGAAATGTTCAGACTTACAGAATGGTTTTTTTTTTGAAACTTTAGAATATCAAGTATATCATGTCTGAACATTTAATAGACACATTTAGCATGATTTTCTGAAATGTTTTATTCTTCCTAGAATAAATTTTGTAAGTTTTTGCTTCAATTTGATCTCACTTGTTTTGAGTATTTCCTGTTGTTCAAAAAGGAGTGATTTATAAAAAAGACAAGGGATTTTTAATTCTTAAGAGATAACTTCTATATATTAGAGAGACACTGTATTAGTATTTTGTATAAATTGTACCTGTTTTTACAAATTTAGATTCTAAGTGATTGCATAGTGTTTATTAACACCTTATCAGACGTATGAAGAGGATAAGATCTGATTTTTCTGTCCCTTTTTTACTAGGCTATGAGGACTACATCAAGTTGGGCATTAACCCTAAGGAACTTGTAATGGGAGTTCCCTGGTATGGTTATGATTATACTTGCCTGAAACTATCTGAGGTAAGAAATGATCATGTGTTATAGCATTGTTTTTCTTTCTATTGTTATCATTTTTATAGCCTGTTCTGTTTTATTAGAAAAATATAAGCTTTATTGAGAATTTCTGAAATATAGTGTGATACTAAAAAGTAAATAATTTATTTTTAGTTATTTAGTCCCATGAATACATCTGAGTATTATGATTTTTATTTAATAATGAAATTTAATATAAACTTTATTCTGTATAGTCAGGTGATCTGTTTATAACAGATTTTATCTCCAACAAATAGTTTTTATAATATTTTGTGGTTTGTCTCTTTAAATTTGCTGAATTAATAATTAATAGTCTGTAACATGATCATTTTTACATTTCCAGGATGATGTTTGTACCATTGCAAAAGTCCCTTTCCGGGGAGCTCCTTGCAGTGATGCTGCTGGACGTCAGGTGCCCTATAAAGTGATCATGAAACAAGTAAATAGTTCTATTTCTGGAAGCCAGTGGAGTAAAGATCAGCAGGCACCTTATTATAGCTATAAAGTAAGACTTTTCACGAGTTACAACATTTAGTCTATTAATTTTCTTAATTGGATATTTTCATAATTTGATATAAGAATGTCAGTTTTGTTTTTCTGTTTTTTTTCTTTTTTAGGGTGTAACATATAGACTTCTGTTTACTTGATTAAAATTATCTTTGATTCTGTGCAATCAGGAATTTTAGTTCCCTGGGGAGCAATTCTAGTTACGCTAATAGTGGATCTGCTTTGCTTGTACCACTTGTTATTTTAGATGACGCTGTAGAAGGTATATGGGAGCTCTGCTGGCATAGTGCCTAAGGCACTTGACTGCTAATCAGAAGGCTGGCAGTTCAAAACCACCAGCCCCTCCTTGGAAGGAAGGTTGGGCAATCTACTTCCATAGTGGTATCACCTCGGAAACCTAAGGAGGGCTTGCTGTGAGTCGAATCGACTCGATGGCAGTGAGTTTGGTTTCATACAATTTTCATATCACATATCCTTTAACAATTGACAATTATGTTATCGTGCCTGGTGCCTTTTCAAAGGGCTTTGTTCCAAAATAGGTTTCCAGCTCTGGAAGCCTCATTTCAAAGAAGCCTAAAGATTCTGATGATGCTTTCACAGGGGGAGGAGTGAGGCTGAGAATGGGAGATGACTCATCATGGACTTTACCATGGAAAAACAACATCATTGCAAGTTTATTTCATAACTCAAACTGTGCTATTAAAAAAAAATTATAATGTTAAAAATTAGAGACAGGAAAATATTACAGAAGAAACCTGAAGAAATATAGTAAATGAGTAGCATTTCTGTCAGTTGTTGTTTGATTAATAGGATTTGCTGTACTAAAGAGGCAAGAAAATGATAATTTTCATAATTTACCTTTAGTATAGTACATTTTTTTCAGACCTCAAAAATCTAAGTACAAATAATCTTTGAATTTACTTTTTATTAGATTATTTTAGAAAGTGCCCTAAAATGATAAAAGCTCGTTGCAATAAGTGTTTATGTTCCTGACTAATAGTCTTATAACCATTTATAAGATATAACTACAGATACCATAGTTAATAAATTATAATTGATACACATGTATATGCCTGTATATCAATTATATAGAAGCTTTAGTGTAAAACTTTCTAAGCACTAAAAATCTAAAGTATATATCTATTAGTTAAAGTAATGTGTATTTTAATCCTGTCTTTGCCAAATAGCAGTTCATAGAACTCTGCTAATATTACATACACACACATGTTCCATGGCTGAATATATTTGGAAAATACTGTATACTGTATGTCCCTCTTGGAGATATATAATGTGAAACAGTACATTAAAGGATCTAAGAAATCCTGCAAGGAGCCCTGTTGGCGCAATGGTTAATTGCTATGTGAAAGCCTGCTAACTTTAAGGTCAGCATTCGAACCCTCAGTGGCTCCATGGTAGAAAAGCTCTAGCAATCTGCACCTGTAAAGAATACAGCCTAGGAAACCCTATGGGCAGTTGTACTTTCTCCTATAGGGTCACTAAGATTCAGAATTGACAAATAACAAAAACAACAAGTCCTGCAGTACATAAACTATTTAATATAGAAATCTGTTGCACAGCACTCTTCGAAACCTGCACGAAGAACAGCGTTTCATGATACCATTTTGGTAAAAACCAAAATAAAAATATCAGTTGCCATTGAGTTGATTCCAACTCATGGTGACCCCATTAGTTTCAGGGTAGAACTATACTTTGTAGGATTTTCAGTGATACCATGTGGTATGGGGCCTAGAGATGTGCATTTTCAAAAGTTCTACAAATGATTCAGATGTGCTTCTTGGGTGATAATCACTGGATTAGACCAAGGTAAAAATGTTTAGGGATGAGAAGGACTGTAAATGGAATATAAAAACAAAAATGGAATATATTAGAAAATATTATGGTATTTGTGTAATCTCTGCTGTTGTTGAGTCCCATAAGCAATTATATCTAGAAAGTATGATATACAAGAACGATGGAGTAATAAACCTGGAAAGTATTGTGCCCTAAATTATTTGTTATTTCATTGGGTCCTGTTTGAACCCTTGGATTTAAGAAACATGTTTCCTTCTTATTGTATTGAATACTTGAAATTTCCATTTTAATTTATTTGTATAGGATTCTGCTGGCCATTTTCATCAAGTGTGGTATGATAATCCTCAGAGTATTTCTTTAAAAGCAGCACATGTGCAAAACCTTGGCTTACGGGGCATTGGCATGTGGAATGCAAACCACCTGGACTACTCTGGAGATGCTGCAGCTAAACAGCAAACTGAAGAAATGTGGCAAGCCTTGAAACCAAAGGTGTGAGAGAGAGGACCGTCTTCTGTGTGTGCATCTTTTGGCAGGCTATTAAGATTTAGAAAAATGATCTTTGTAAATAATCTAGTTTCTTAAAGAGATAAATATAACACATGTATACATTTTGGTAATGTTACCATATGCTTTCATTATTAGTATACTCAAAAAAAGAGATAAAGAATAAAGAAATACTTTTGTTGTTTGAATTTGAAAAATGCAAATATATTAATATCTTTAGTGCTCCAGGAATGCAATGGTAAGAAATAAGTCAACTTCTTATATTAATAGTCCTCTATAAGTTCTTTTAATAGTATAATTTAATTAGGAACAATCAGGGCTTCAAGCCAGTGCAGCCCAGTTCAGTCATGGCCAAGGAAGCAACACCAGAAGAGTCTCAACAATTTAAAATGTGGGTAAACTGTAGTGATAACAGGATCAGGGAAAATTAAGGGTCACAATGCTCTTACTCTTAATCTCCCTCTTAGGGCAGTGCACGCATTGCATAGTAACCAAATCTCTTGCATGCGGGGTGGGAAACAGCTGCATCTGCCTCAAAGATGGTGGACAGCCACATCACTTTGAATGTATGTTGCTCTCTACAGTTTCACCATTAATCCATTCTTCTGCATCTGGCTCCAGAAAGGGCTCACTAAGTCTTTTCTGAATCTCCCATTCCAGGGCTTTGACTTGTACAATTTTCCATTCTGGTTATCATTTCTGTTCACCCAAATTTTAAAAATGCAGTTCCTTTTCTATTTTGCTGTGTTGGCCATGACTGAACCTGTTCAAAGCCCTAGGAACAAGTGCTTTCAGAATATGTTTATGCTAATTTTTTTTCCATGATAGTAAGATACAAGCTTACAAATCAGTGTTAATTTTTAAACATGTTAATTTGAACTGGAAATTATTTGCTTAGAATAGATTTTTCAAAAGCTAATCTTTGAGAATAGTTTGGTCTGTATATATATATATATATATATTTAATAATCTTAAATGTAAAGCCTGTAATTTAGTGTTTCCTCTTTAGAGTTATCAAACTGATGAAAATAATTTTTCTGCTTCTTGATTCCATACAACACTCATATTCTCTGAGGCTCTTGAATTAAATTAACATTCCACACAGTGAGTAAGGGAAAAAAAAAAAAAACTTCTTAAATAAGAGGATAGCTTAGTAATATTCTGAATTAGTAGATTAGAGATACCTAATATTTTCCAACTAAATTAAATTTTGGTGCTTTTATATCTGAGATACTAGAATAGGAACAACTTGGCATGGAACCTGGTTCTATGCACAGTCATACACTTTTCCATTTGTTCAGATTCTTTCATCATGGACATTCATAAATTACTTCTTGCTTAGTTTTCTAATGTAGTCAATTTTTTCTTTTTTTACCTCTGCATTTTACTTTTAATTATCTAAAGACATTGATTGGTTTCTCAACTAAACTAATGATTCTCTTTTCAAAAGAGAAACTTTATGCAAAGAACTTTTCTAAACATACAGAAGTTTCAGTTCTCTTTCTCAAGGCAGTCAAGATCATTTGCTGAACTTGTATTAGTTCCTGTAAAGACTTAAACTAAAAACCTACTTCCTTGTACTCTGGACTTTCATAATTCCTTTCTTCCCTGCACATTATTGCTAACCAAATTGGGGGAAAATGATGATTCAAGTATCTATTATGAGAAAGTTATATTCCTATTTTTAATTGTTTATATAAAAGCAACTGTTTTTCATATTGTATGCTGAATCACTTATGTCTTTATATTCTCAAAATAAATTTTAAAAACTAACTTCTTACCTGTTTATTTCTAGATAGAGTAAATAGCAAGTTCAAAACCCCTATTTTTTAATAGATTTCCAGACTTATTTTAATTAAAATATAATGAACATATTATTTATATACAAGATCTATTCAGATTTGATGATGTAATTTTTTTCTTTATAATTAGATTTTATAGTCAATGTTTGCTATTAATTTTCAAGATAACTAAAAATTAAAATAATTATAACATAATACTGTAAAATAATATGCAATAGACTTGAAATCTTCAAAAATAACTAAATAGCTACCATTTTGCTTTATGTTATAGCTAATATTTCCTGAAATACTTTGTACTACCTGCAGGAAATGTGAAGAATCAGTAACCTTAAGATTTACATGAAACATTGCCAAGTAGAACAGCAGTTCATCAAATCTGTTCAAATATTTAAATTTTATGACAAATCAGTTTTAAATTGACATACCTGATTGAGATTATTGGGAGAAGGTTGGGCAATCTACTTCAGTAGTGATACTGCCTCAGAAACCGAAGGAGGGGTCGCTATGAGTTGGGTTTGACTCAACAGCACATAACAACAACAACAAATTGAGATTATAAACATGTATTAATTTTATTCTGTGCCAGTTCTACTTTTTGTATAAATCTGAAACATCTTATTTTTTATTTATAAAAATTATAACCTTTCAAAAATTAACCTCAGTTTACCCTTCTAAAAGTACCTCATAATTGTCACATAGAAAAGGTATTTTTTTTTAATACTTTGTCTTCTCACTTTTGCCTTCAGTGCCTTTACTACCACTGAAAATGCATAATCCTGTTTAATAGACAAGCTTATTTACTGCTAGATATGCTGTTTGATCATTTTCTTTATTAGCATATAGAAATAATAAACTGTCCAGAAAATTAGAGTAAGAAAGAATTTTAATTTTGCTCACAATTCAAAATCTGTTATTCTCAGTGTATAAAGAGAATAATACTACAGTGAAACCTGTGAGAGCCAGAACTCAATAGGACTGTCTTGGTTTCTCTGGGTTTCACAAGTTTTCCACCTTTGGAGATGTCCTTCTCTGACAACTTTATACCTTACGCAAGTTTCAGATTTTGCAAGTTTTACTGTAATAATAAATTTCCAGCCACTCCTCAGAAGGAAGGTTGGGAAATCTACTTCCGTAGTGATACTGCCTCGGAAACCCAAGAAGGGGTCTGCTATGAGTCGTCCGACTCCACGACACATAACAACAACAACAACAGGATATGAATAGGTATTTAAAGAATATAGTAGTTTTTTTCTCTGTGGCAAGCACTTGTCTAAATGTATTAACCCCTTTGATTCTCCCAAAAACTTTATTGAGACAGATATTATTTTTACAGTTTGGGAAGCTGAGACCCATAGAGGCAAAGTAACTTACCTAAGATAAAAAATTGGTAAGTCAGATAGACAGGACTCAGACTCTAGCTATCGGTACCATCAAAAAAAAAAAAAAAAAAAAAAAAAAAGAAAGCAAGAAACAAACAAACAAACAACAACAAAAAAAAAAAAAAACACAAACCCACTGCCATCAACTTGATTTCAGCTTTCTTCATTGGAGTGGTTGGTAGGTTCAAAACACTGACCTTTTGGTCAACAGTCAAATGCCTTAACCACTATACCACCAGAGCTCTTTATCTGGTGCCATAGCCCTTGGTATTCCAAGTATTATCTGGGGACCAGGAGCATTAGTATCATCTGAGAGCTTGTTAGAAATGAAGAATCTCAGGTTTCTCAGATTTGAGTCAGATCCTGCATTTTAACAGAATTCTTAGGTGATAGTTACATTGAAGATTAAGAAGCATAGCCTGTTCTTTACTGTTTAAAATATATATGGTTGCAACAGACTAGGTATATTGCCATTTGGTTCTGAGTCTTAAAGGTAGGGGCGTTTGGGGTAGATCATTCACAAATCAATAAATACTTACTATATTGTCTATCATGTGTTAACCAGGCACTCTGGGTAAATGTTAAGATTTTTTCCCTGGTCTGTAGCTGCAAACTAGGTTTGCTGTTTATTCTATTTTCTTTGCCGTCTTTTCTACTAATAATTCTAATTTTGGGTCAAGACATTGCTAAGTAATACATAAGGCAAAACATACAAATATAGCAGAATGTAACGTGCAAGCTTTCCGGAAGAAAGGACACAGAAGTCATCATTGAAAGTGCTACAGTTATCTTCATAGCTCCTTCTTTCCACCTACCCAACTATCAAGTATACAAAGTACCCCTTTTTAACTTTGCTTTCTTTCCTTTTTTTAAATACACACTCAGCTTTTATTAACAGAATGAGTTACTTTTTTTTGAGTGCATACTGTATATGAAAGCTAAATGTTGAACTCATAATTTATTTGCTTAAAATAGTTCTTTGACCTTTTCTGTATTTTAAGTTTCTCAGTACTGAGCCAAGACTTAAAAGCCTTAAGCATGTTGTTGTTGCTAAGTGCCCTTGAATTGGCTCTGACTCACAGCGACCCTCTGTACAACAGAACGAAACACTGCCCGGTCCTGCGCCAGCCTCACAACCCTTGATATACCTTAGCCCATCGTTACAGGCACTGTATCAATCCATCTCATTGACGTCTTTCCCCTTTTTCATTGACCTGCCACTTTACCAAGCATGATATCCTTCTCCAGGGAATGGTCCCTTCTGATCACATGACCAAAGTAGGTGAGACGAAGTCTGGCCATTCTTACTTCCAAGGAGCATTCTGGCTACATTTCTTCCAGGACAGATTTGTTCATTCTTCTGGCAGTATTCTTCACCAACGCCACAACTCAAAAGCATCAACTTTTCTTGGGTCTTGCATATTTATTATTTAGCTTTCACGTGCATATGATGCAATTGAAAATTGAAATGGCTTGGGTAAGGCAAACCTTAGTCTTCAAAGAGACACCTTTGCTCTTCAGCACTTTAAAGAGGTCTTTTGCACCAGTTTTGCCATGTGTAATACATCATCTGACTTCATGACTGTTGCTTCCATTGGTGTTGAACGTGGAACCAAGTAGTATGAAATCTTTGACAACTTCAATCCTCTCACCATTTATCATGTAGCTACTTAGTGGTCCAGCTGTGAGGATTTTTGTTTTCTTTATATTGAGGTGTAATCCATACTACAGACTGTACAGTCATTACTCTTCATCAGTAAGTGCTTCAAGTCATCATCACTTTCAGCAAGCTAGGTTGTGTCATCTGCAT